TCGGAAAAATATTAAGATTTACGTAAGCTGGACCGATTTGAAAATACCTTCAAAAAATTTAGTTTTTTGTGAATAAAAACAGTTTTTTAAATAATTTTTTGCGAAAAATCACCTTAGGTGACAAAACAGTTTAAGCTTAAAAAATTTGCATACAAATATTTAAAAAAGTTTTCAACGGAATCGCAATAATGAAATTTTTGATACTGTTTTTCAATTTTTTTTAAAGACTGGTTAAAAAAAGCTTGAATAACTCAGCCTAAACTCTACCGATTTAGACTTATGATGTATCAGTGCAAAGGAAATGTCTCACCTTTTTTATTTCTTTGAAAATCGGCTCAATTTAAGCCTCATTCCATGTTGAATTAAGATATGTTGGTATTTGATAAAGAAAAAATTAGGACGTGACTGAGTTTTTTGCAAAGAAATAAAAAGGGTGAGAAAATACCTTTCCACTAATACCTCACAAATCTATATCGGTGTAGTTTTGGCCCAGTTTTTCAAGTTTATCTTAAACAAATCTTAGAAAAAAGTTAAAAAAACAGAATCAAAAATCTTATTATTAGGATTCCGTTAAAAAAAATTAATATTTTTATGCAGATTTTTAAAGCTTAAACCGTTTTGTCATCTGAGGAGATTTTTTCCAAAAAATCCTTTAAGAAACTATTTTTATTCAGTCTATTAGACTGCATCACTCCCCATACAAAAAAATCGTTAAAGTTTTTCCACTGGAATTATAAAATCTATTATATTTTAAGACTTGGACCAAAATATCCCCCCAAAATATTAAGATTTTCGTGAGCTGGACCGATTTGAAAATACCTCCAAAAATTGATTTTTTTATTAATTAAAATAGTTGTTTTAAAATTTTTTTGAAAAAATAACTAAACTACTTGACTAAATAGTTTAAGCTAGGGCTGTGCGATTAATTGATTACTCAAAATTTTAATTAATCATAAAGTAAATAACTCAATTATTCGATTAATTGGAAATTATGATTACTCAAAAGTTCAGTTACTCGAGTAATCAAGATTTTTGATTAACCAAAAACAAAAATATTT